CCGCTCCCACAGATCATGACAAATACCCTACAGAGATGAGTGTGGGTGAGGATCTTCTATTCACCTTCACACTCACACCCCCCATACTCTCATCCCCACTCCCACCCACACTCAACATCCACACCCACACCTACACTCACACCCCACACCCCGCACCCCATATCCACACATCCACCCTGACACCCACACCACACCCCATACTCCCACCCACACCCTTCAACAACGGAAACTTTCAAGTTTGAAATTGTTTCTATCATAATAGTTCTCTCGGTAAGGATGTTGTGATGAAATGTTTTTCGCCGAATACGCCATTATCGAAAAGTTTTTATTGAAAGCTTGTCGTCAAAATGCTGTTCATCGACTTGCTTCTATTATAAATCTTGTCATCAATATGAATTCATTGGCAATTAATTTTCTGACGGGAAGATGTTCATGTACTAACTATCTATATTGAACTGTGCTGTCCTCTCCATCGTCCTTCTGAAAGTGACGGGATTGAGCAACAATCGGCCTGATACGATATTGTCGATACTGTAGTGAATGATGCTGCTAGTATATCGTCGATGTAATAGTTCAGTCATGCTGTAACAACCGACCCGAAGGCAGCTTCACACTCCTATTCGGCTGTTTTCTATGAAACAATTGTTAATGAATGTTGAAGTATATGGAAAAAGCTGCCTACTTTCTCTCGTTGCACATACTGTGACAAACCTGGCGTAAGAACCTCGTTCTCTATTAAAGTAATTCCATCTTCTCTCACATTATTATTCCGTAGGGGTTGCGCTGAAATATTTCTACTTAATAAGCTTCTTTTTTATTATTGCTTCACCGCGAACTATCACAGACTCAATCGTACAAGGGTTGCACAAGGAATAAAGATGCATAAAGCATTCAAATCTACAATCAAAACAATTCACATCGCCGCTCAACGAGTTAACTCTGCAAATCAATGGAATCACTACCGGTATAATTCGTAAGTGTTATTAGAATTAGTAGTTTTCATTTTTGGCTTGAAGATTCATTACTTTTGCAATTTTCCTACTTCTGAATTTTTGTACTATTGGTTAATCTAGTGGAAGGGCCTAACTAATTATGGCCATCAAGTCTCAGCGCTGTAGTCCTAGGAAAATTTGCCATATCCAAAAAATTGTAGGCGTAGATATAGTACTTTCTGAGTATGTAACAGAGAATGGCGGGGTAGCAAAAGTTTCTCTCGCCGAGTCCCACTGGGAGCCACTCAAAAGTTCTCCTGTTCTGTTTCGCCTAAAAATTGTCCATCCCGTTCCGTCTCGCGTCCCGCCGAATATTTTCTGCCCAATCCCGTCTCCTCTAGCGAAACAAATCCCATTACAAAGTTAATGACACACGCATACAGTATTTACTTTTTTGACAGCTGTCTGTACTGCTTATGTGAGCAAGAAGAGATATCTGCTTGACAGATAGCAACGGTACATTGTCTGACGTAGAAACTGCCATAATGGAGTCCTCACTTTTGAGTTGCTATTTTGCCCATAAGTAGGGCACGGTATAACTTAGAAATCTCTAACCTCGTTCGTGCCCACGATGTATCGATGAAAACTTAACATCGTTTTATTGATGTTTCCACTCATAGCACCGTATTTTCGAGAAAATCAAATTATATAGTTTTGACCTGGCAGGTTACCTGTGGATAGATCTAATTGGCATTTGAGTTTTCTGAAATTTTCAAGAAAAATTAACGCGTCCTTCTCTAGGTAATGCAGTTACAATTTGACTCGACTGTAGTGTCCTGTCTACGGCAAGCGACTTTTGTGGCACATGAGTATATCGAGAAAGACACTTGTGTTTTTCTTGAAAAATTCAGAAAACTCTATTGACAATTAGGTCTATCCACAGGCAACCTGTCAGGTCAAAACTCTATGATTCGATCTTTTCGAAAACATTACGCTATGGGCCAAAACATCAGTAAAACGATCATAACTTTTCATCAATAGGCCATGGACATGAACGGACTTAAGAATTTCTTAGTCCGGCGGAGCCTTAATTATGGACGAAATATCAACGCAAAAGCGAGGAATCAGTTGGATAGTCCCCTCGTGATTTGATGTTGACTGTGACAGTCAAAAATGCAGAGAGAATAGATCACTGTAGCTTTCGATACAGTCGAGGTAGAAGAACACAATAGCGAAAAGCCGTCATCATCGATTTTGTTCGATGTACAAGCCATGTGCGAAGGCGATGGTGCTTTGTCATGATGCGATACACACGCATATATGCCGTCATTCTCATTTAGTGATGTATATGATTGAATTACATGTATGTGTGTGAATGGCGTATTTACCGTTCATCATGGAGAAGCACCGACTATACTATTGTTCATTCTCCATTTCAGACAAAATAAACCGCCGTCATGGTGATTGATTCACTCTCTCATAATTCGTTTCATAAAATCGAGCACCCTGCTGATGTAAAAAATAGAGGATCTTTTTGCGCTTGCTACTCATGCATGGAATATTACAGACGAAGCTTTCAATCCCGCCTGCTTGTACCGCCTCCTGTCCTGTGTCCTGTTAGTCTCTGATATGCAAAATATAAGAGATACCAAAGTATGTCGGACATATTTTAGAAGTATGTATCATTATATAAATTAAACGAATAGTAATCGGCGCTGTCAAAGATTGATTTGGGGTATTATCTTGCAGCAGGATTTTGGATATATACCTTGTCCAACCACACATGATTGATGACACTGAAACTCATATTTTGTACTATTGCAGTGAACAAAAACCAATATCTTTACCATCACATGAAAATAGATTTCAAGCATACTGACATAAAGAGCACAAAAATTAAGTAACATACTGGTTTTCAGTATTTTCTCTCATACTTCCCATAATTTGTCATGGATAGTTCGGTATGACTCAAAAGTACGCTTTTAATGCAAATCCAACCATAAAGTGGAATACATATAACAAAACTTCGCTAGATAACATCCAAAAAAGCGTTGATACACATGCATTATGGACCAGAACAGCTTGATAGTATGAGTGTATGTGTGTGGATGCGTGTGGATGCGTGTAGACAAAGGAAACTGATGTTCCCTCATGCCTACGCACCTACATCCGCACCAACCCACATACAGATGTTCAGTTTGAAATGAATACTTTAAGGCAAGATCAAACCTGTTCATTTATTTCACTTTTTCTATTGATAGGCTGAAAATATGGTTTCATTTCATCGGAAAGCCATCGTTCTGTATTCATTTTTTTTCTCGTAGCTTGCAATGATCGGAGTGAATGTTCATACAACCTATTGAATTTTTCTATATTATAGTGCTATAGCTCAGCTATTATCTGCAGCACACGCCCAGTGTCACAAATCTGCTGCTGACCAGACTGAATCATCATCCAAAAATTCCCTAGTGAAAATACTCATCAAGCGAGTACGACTTTCCAGCGTGAGTACTCATATTACTCGCACGAGTACTCGAGGAATTTGATGTGTATGTATATTCTTCGTGTACTCGAATGAGTACTCGTACGAGTTTTTCTTTAGAGATTTACTCGTAGGCAGATATATCAGTACTCAGTGTAGTACTCATAGTCGTTTTTCGCAGACCGTTTAATAAAACACTTATGCACTAGTATATAGAAAAAATAAATTGAAATTATATAATAAAAGAAAATGATGCAGTAAAATGAAAGCCCAGAAAAATTGTTTTATTGACTTATTTACTCGATCCTCTCTTCATTTTGATGAGTCATCTATACGACTAAGATAAATGGTGATGTTCAGAAAGAGAAAAAACGATTTTTCGTTTTCATTTGTTAACTTAGTTGAGATTGAATTTTTTTAAACATATGAATGTAGATTCGCTTTAATTTTATTTCGTAAATTTAGATAAAAAAGTCTTCCGTGAAAATATAGTTTTTCAGACTGACTATCAAATGCTATGAAAAGGAAGACGACTAATGACTTTTATTATAAATCGATCGCAATTTTAAAACAAGAAGATGCATGAATACACTACCGACAAACAATTTTATTCTGTATTTATTTTTTTTGTAGATTCCCACATAAATGTAGATGGTTACAAATGTAAAAATATCTGTTTAAGTTTTTTGTATAACAAGCAATACTGTACGTTTATTTACTATCACATTTGTCATTATCAGTGATTAATTTTTTTTTTTCTCCTTCACTGTATTTTACTGTCCTTAATTCGTGTTTTATTGTACTCTGTATTCAAGATATGGCTAAAGAAATTTTCATTATTAGAGAAAATAGTTAGCTATGTTCTATTTTTTTTACATAATGAAATACGATTTTATTTATTTTTTGAAAGAGGAAAGAAAAGAATCAATAAAATCGTATTTTTATTGTAGAAAAACAAAGAAAAAATTTAACTTTCTTCACAAATGATGAAGATTGCTATGGCCATATTCTTTACGCTAAAATATGTGAAGCTAATGTCAAACTTGTGGTTCTCATTTCGACCATTTTACTCAAATTTTCATTGTGTATGGTTGTGGTTTTTGTAATATTCTAATATTAAATAAAAATTGATGTAGTACAACGGTACTAACCAAAAGATATGCTTATGAGTATTTTACATTAGGCCAGCAGAGTACACAGAAACTAGATAGGAGTACTCACCAAACACTTAATATTACACAGCGAGTACTCGATCGTCGTACTCAGATACTCAGATTCTAGCATGAGTACGGCTGTTGAGTACTCAAAACCTATGAGTACTCGTGACATTTTCTAGCGTGAGTACTTTTTGAGTACTCGCCTATGAGTACCTTCACTAGGGTTTCTATAGTGTTCCTATTACAGATGTGATCGGTACGATACAACAATATGATGGAATTAACGAATTATTGACCAATTCACCAACACACGCAGTTAAAATTGGCGAAGCCAATTTCAACAAGAACCGATCTGGTTTGATTAGTACTTCTATCATTTATCCTGATCATTGGTATCCTCCTCCATCATTCTCTCGTTCACCTTATCACATGCTTTCAAACAAGCAGAGTGAACATGAAGTAAAAGATTGGTATATGTCTGCTTTAGGTACATTTTTATCGTCATCCATGAAAGAACGATTATGGCAATTGGAACCAGCAGAATGGTCTGCATTTTTACAACCTTATGGAGCAAATAATCATGTTGAATTAATGGGAAAATTTTTGGCCATATTTATTCTAATTGATGATGAAATCGTTGAAGGAAAAGCCTCACAACAACAAAGTATAGCGTTACAGCAACTGTTGATATTTGGTGAAATATGGAAATTGGCATTTCAACGACGAAATGGCCATCAAACAGCAAGCAAGAGTTTAGCAACGAAAATTCATGAAATTGCATTAAAAACGAATATTGCTTTGTTAGAACCATGTTTCAATGCGTGGTCTGCTATCGCCGATAGTTATGTGAGATTAGGTGCAGACGAAGCCTGGTGTAATAGGATGTGTAATGCAATACAAGAATGGATTGAATTAGGAATTAGAGAAGTAGTAGGAAAGCAACGTATTAAACAATCATCGTCATTATTAGATTTACTAACAAATATTCCTGTTACTCTCACTTCATATGACCATCCGTCTCCTCACCAGGCAGTAATGGGAAAAACAGCGACTGTTAACATGGGTGGCTTGTCTCTATTGGAAATTCTCATACGACAAAGAATAGCCACAATTGGTGTACCGATGATGTCACTATTGTTAGAGCAATCATGTGGTCTCAATTTATCCTCTATCGATTCTTTATTACGTCCTTCGATCGATGTAGTAGCAATCACGTCTTCATTGGTCAATGACCTGATTGGGATGGCAAGAGATTTAAGAGGTGAACCGAATTTTGTATTGGTTTATCGTCAAATATTTAATTGTTCATTGCAACAAAGTATTCGTTTTGCTCTTGCATTACACGATTTGACTATAAAAAAATTTGATCAAAATGTTCAAGACATACTCCAATCATTGCCATCTCCTTCTTTACAGCATCACGTTGCGATTTACATGGAGCGTTTACGTATGTTAGTTCGTGGTTATGCTCATTGGCATCATCATTCAGATCGGTACAAAAATCTTATTGCATTAGATGAAACACATAAACAAATATTAATATTTTCTGTTGCCGATGGTCAAAATCAACGTTACAATGCGTTACAGGATGCATTGAAACAATATGAATCGCATACGATGATAAACGAAGCTCTTTAACAGTGGGTACCTATTTCAAAACGGCAAGAAAATTTTAATATCACTGCACGCATTCACGTCTGGAACATAACCTTTCGCTACTTTTGTAAAAACTCAGAAAGTAGCATTTAGGCGATGGCTGGGGCATGTTTGAGCAGGAAAAAATATTTTATAGTGCGCTTTTCTTCTTATTTATCAAATCTTATTACTTATACTTTTAATGAATTTAAAACTTTTCACTTGTATTTCATTTCCTTCTTTTGCTTACTAACAAATACAATAAACAAGATAGTCTTTATCCACTGATTCGGTCACTCGTTTCTAAAAGAGGGCATCATGCTCTCGGAAAGATGTTTTATTCTGGCTCGTGTGAGTTTTTGCATGTCTTTCTATTACTACAGGTCGCTCGAAAAAGGATCATGCGATTTCCTTCAGCCGTTCTACAAAACAGCCCACCGTTTGAAATTACAACGTCGCTTTTGAGTCAGTTCTCGACATCCCTACGAGACGCCACTCCAGACTCTTTGTTCATTTAGTCTCTGATTCGGTTTTGTAATCGACTCACTGAGCCGGTTATACAAGTCTTCACATGTGATTCTGACCAAAATGCTATCTAAATCTTCATAACAAAGGTATTTATCACGATCGATCAATGATTTTTTCGGATCGTTGGCATACATGAAACTACATAAACCTGTGTTGATCTACAATTCGTCTAGTGTCGAAGTGCTTTTGTTTCGTTGAACAAGAGAAGACTTATCAAAGGTCGATCCCAATAGTGATGGATCGGGCAGATACTCGTCAATTTTTATGTAATTGGCAGAAATTGTTCGAGTGGGTGTGGGTGGGCGTCGGTGTGGATATGGGTTTGGGTGTGAGTGTATGTGTGAGTGGGTGTGGGTGTGAATGTTGTTCGTTGATTCACCCGCACCCGATGGAAATACCAATCTTCTACAATAAGAAAAAAGAACATAAAATATTGTTGGCAATTGATTCTCAGCTATTAACCAACAGGCTTTATTTATATCATGAGTCAACATATGCTGAAAGGTCCAAGCATAACTAGCGAGAATTTATTTCACAAAACTGCAATCCATCAGGGTGAATTATAGCAAACTTAATATAGATATAATTATATGGCATTTTGTTTCAAAGCCTACTTGCTTAATATATATATCTATATACAACAACGCTATTTCAATCACGTTTAACGCTTCAACCGATCAAGCAACCGCAAGAGGATAAGAAAAAATGTTGTTCTATCAGACGTTAACAAATTTACAATACAGACGAGTTGAGTAGTGAAAGAATTAAAAAAAAAAAGAAATCAGAGGTGTTTTGATTTTGAAGCAAATAAATCATAGAAACATTTCTTTTTTTGTGTGACTTGATGGCTTGTTTTTTCTTGCTATCATCGACTCTTTTTTTCATTACCCTCTTTTCACAGTACATCAGCACATGTTTTGTTTATAGAATATTGATGCTGTGCTTCCATTGTAGATAGTAATAAAAATTCTTTACTGCATATGTAAATATTTTGTACCTTTTTTTCCATCATTCGAAGCCCTTCTGCACTCACATCAGCATCCATACTAGCAACTTCTAGCAATACATAGGTGTATCGAGTTGCGAGTTTCATAACTGACTCATAGATCCAGATTTATTTAGAGATGACGCTAGTTAATGATCCTAACAACACAGAGAAATAAAAAATGATCCATATAAAAGTATGATATAACAGGGTAATAAGGTATACCTGATATTTTAGTTGAAACATTCTTTCAATTGACCTGCTTATAATATGATATGAAAAGTGTAACAGATGATTCGTTATAGTTACCATGTGATGAATCATTCACACCAACTAGTAGATCAAACATTTACATCATCAAAAATATATTTGTCACTATATCAGAAATCTAAAAAGTATTTCTCTATTGTTACATAAATTTTTCATTGAAATATCTTGAATCTAAAAATAAGCTCATTCTAAAGACACTTCGAATGTATTAGTTCAACAATTATTTTAATATAGATATACTTGAGATCAAGGAAAAGTTACTTTTATTAATATTTTAACGAAGATTGTTTACATGTAAGATCAACAATTCAGAGAAATGATCGCTAAAAACTTTGTTGGATCGTTAAAATCTCTAGTTCCTTTTTTTCCTGGTAGACAATATCTCTTATCTCATAAACTACTATCGACATCAAAAGAATGGCAAGTAGCGTAAGTTTTGACGAGTGAGTAATATAAAAACAAAACATTCTTTTTTTTTTTCTTTCTTCTATTCATATTTTTAACTACAGAATAACTGAACATATATCACCAGCAAGTCTTAAACGAGAGTTTTATGGTAATTATGTATCAGCTCATGCAACACTTCATGTTCTTCAATGGAATACTCTTGCTCAAGGTATATTTATATAAATTTTTTTCTTTATAAATTTAATCTTCTTAGGTTTATCCAATCCTGAGAATAATTTTGTGCGTGTTAAAAACGAAACAATAGCATTTGATACTCGTAAATGGCGTATACTTGAACAAATTCTTATTCGTAAACCTGATCTATGTGCACTTGAAGAAGTTGATACTTATGATTGTTTTCTTCAATATTATTTGCCTAAATATGGGTATCATAGAATTCAATATATTATTCTATTAAAAATAACATCATATCTATTTTCCCAGATATACTTGTTTCTTTACTCCGAAACCCAAATCTCCATGTTATGCATTTCAACATGATTTTCCCAATTTCAAAGGACCTGATGGCATTCTTCTTTGTTTTAAAACAGATTTATTCGATGAAATTCGACGATATCACTATCAGAATTCAGAATGTGATACTGATAAAAAATCTGCCGTAATATAATTTATTAGAAAATTTATTAATTCAATAAATTCTATATTAAATAGTTTTTTTCAATGCTTGAACTAAAACACAAACCATCATCAACTAATATTGTTTTTGTTGGTACACATTTAAAAGCAAAGAAACAATTTGCAAATCTACGATCAGATCAAGCACAAGCTATTGTTCAATATTTAACTGAACATTATTCAACACAGGCACATATCATTATTTCTGGTGATTTTAATGGTGAAGCTGATGAACCTTTCTATAATGTCATACATAAGGCTGGTTTTTCGAGTGCCTATCGAACAGTATTAAATGATACAGAACCATTATTTACAACATGGAAATTTCGAGAACATGATGGAATCGAACAAGAACAATGTCGAACCATTGATTATATTTTTTATAAACCACAAGGTTTCGTACCTATTGCTATTTTAAAACTACCAAGTAAAGAAGATATTGGTTCTAATGGTCTTCCGTCAAATGAATATCCATCAGATCATTTAGCACTTGAAACCATCTTTAATATTATTCCTTGAAAGACTTGTTTTTTCTACTATATATATTTTAATTTATGAATGATTCGCACAACAAATTACTTAGAAACAATATTTTCTTTTGTTGCAATTAAAGTCGAAGAACATTTGAGAGGAGCAATTAGGATACGATTAAATGAGTGCTATTAATTCTAATTCTCAACTGTTTTAATAATTTTTATACTAAAAAAGTTTTTTTGTTTTATTTGGAACATCATTTTACTCAAGCTTTAGCAAATCAAATAGGAAAAATGATAGTATACAGGAATAGCTTCCTGTTTTGTTTTTCATAGACCAGTATCGTTTATCGCACTGCATGAGATGTGTGGAATTTTGTTTGTCATTTGAAACATTGTTCTATAAAAAGAAAGTGTACAGAAATGTACTTCAAACAGTGTTACTAATTTTCTGTCCATCGTCGAGATATTTATAATATACTTTGGATCAATTTCGCCAAATGCACATTTGAAACATGTGAACATCGAAGCTACGATTCTTTCTTTTGTTGTTGATGAAAAAATCACGCAGATATTTTGAAACAAGGAGTAGATACTAGTTGAAAAAGTTTTCTATTCTCCAATGAAAGAAAAAACAGCTGTCTTTTCTTTTGTGGTTTGTATTGATAAAAAAAGAAGCACTACGTGAATATACTCATGCATGCTAACAAAATTATGAAATATATCGTTGGAAGGAACACAAAAACTCCCAGAATAATTTTATTATCAACCGTATAGGTATGTGGATCTTATTTTTCTTGCACTCCACACCTACATTGTGTTGGAATTGTTGCATGTCAAAATCATATGGTTCAAGACGTCTTGAAAAGCTGCCGCCATGAGAAATACTGTCTACAATTCAGAATGAAAGAAAAAAATGCATGAACATGAGCATTGTCTCTAATGTGAATACCTTTACCGATGCTCTCTGATCTCGCACGACAAAAAAGTGCTAAAACTGAAGAAACCTATGCAAGAAAGGAGTTTATTTACCTCATTATAAAGATACCGTTATAACTTCTTTCTATAACAAGCTCGTAAAGAGCACTTCCGATTTCAAGAACATTTGTTTGATTTTTGTGGAATCTTAGTTTCAATCATAAAAATCTGCTGCTTAGGTCACAAGTGTACCATCGGATTATGTCCGAATCTAGTAGATTTCATCTGTTTCGAAGAAATTAGTTGTCAGATATTTAGATTGAAGGAGCTGTCGAAAATGTTTTAATATTTTGTAACGATCATATGTAATTGTAATTATTTTTTCGTGTTGTAAAACAGAAATTGCCCGAACAAATTGAGTCTTTTGAAAACTTTGCTTTGTGTAAAAATAAATTGAATTGACGTTTTTTTTTTGCATGAAAAGCAGTTATCAAAATGAACAAACAACTGATGCAACCAAGGAAGCCGAGCCCTTGTCCCAACCTTCCCCATACCGATTGAAATCATACAAGTTTAACTCTGTCAACAAGCATTTTCCATCAGAAAGAACCTAACCATCTAATCTTTCCACCCGAGAACCTGCAGTGTTAAGTCCTTCAACCATCGAAATTTTGGTTGCAGCACTAGAACAAATTTTAAAAGAATATGAAATTACTGTTGTTTTTGTTTAGTGACCGTGAAAATTT